TCCTCTAATCATCTACTTTTTTCGCCCGCCGTCCTACCATGGCGGGGGGGTGGGGCGCGCTTCTAATATGGGAGAGGCTTCTATTATGGGAAGGGGTTTACTCAAAAAGTGAGTACACTCTAGGATCGGTGAGTATGTCCGGCCGGTCAGTTACACGATAACTTTCGAAAGGAGAGTCCGATCACGATGAAATTTTCTATACAGTTCAGTCTTAACAATGTCTAGGTCGAATTCGAAGATGAAAAGAATCCGTCAAGAAACGGCTGACTTATCGAAAAAATTCTCATTATTGGCCAGACCTTCCCTGAAGGGCTGGTTCAGGGTTTTTTTCAAAAAAAAATTTTTTTTCTCGAAATTATTCCCTCGACTGAAGGGAGCGTCATACGGAAAAAACTTGACCAATGTGGGATCTTTCATGCTGTATAGATGAGTAAAAAAGTTGGTGTTTGTTTTGGGAGAAAATCGAGGTCGAAAATTCACTTTTTGACAAAAAATTGATTTTTTTTAAGTTGTTCTGCAGGAATACTTTGCTGTAGAGACCTGAAATTCACATGGTAGTTAGGGAGCATCAAGATATGCTTGTGTTCAAAGTTTCAGGTTCATATCATTTTTAATCGGGAGATATGAGTAGCGAAAATTGGTCAAAAAAGTAATTTTTCCTCGAACTGTGGGATCGATAAAATATCAACCACTCATTTCTTTGAGCTGAAATTTATGATACATATAGAACTTAGTTAGGTATTGATGTAGAAAAGGTTTCAACTTAAAAGATTGATTTTTTTTGGTTTTTGTGGAGTGTCAAAAAACATTCCTCATGAAAGTGCGTTTTATAACGATTTATAGTGATTTCAGTAAAACTATGATAAAAAACGAGCGATTCAATATTTTTCGAAGCGGCTTTCACCAAAAAGTCACCAAACACTTGCCTCTATTACATATGTAAAAATGAGCCAAATCAGAGGATATCAATCGAGCACTTTCGGTCGTAGCTTACGTGGAATTGCTCTTATGTGAAATAAAATAAGTTTTTGTCTATTATTGTCAAAGTGAACGATGAAACGTCATTAAAAAACCTTGGACAAGTTTTCGGCGCTCGGGTTTTTAATATTGGGCTTTTCATCAATTCTGTTTTTCAAACTGAATATTCAGTTAATCCGGCGTATGTGATAAGTTCTTCCAGAATGAGCTGTTTTATAACTAGGTTTCTACGGATGAGGCTCGTTTTCGAAGAAGGCGACCAGTTTCTTCTACTTGCACCATTCAAGAAATCAAAGCTTGAGTCAGTTATGATGACGAGACTACTCGATCAGTTCTTTTGATCCTCACATGCACAATGTACTTGTCTTAAACAGTCGAGGGTCAAGTGAGTCGAACCGACGAATGTTACTTGTATGTTAGAATGGGAATAAAAATTACTTCAACATCCAAAAACACATGAAATCTATGGCCGGCAAGTTTTAATTTAATATTTCTATATTCTCTTCGACGCGTACTTTATTAATATTATGTAGATATATTGATGATGTATTTATGACTACAAATTTATCAGAAGAAAATATTTTAAAACTATTAGATGAAGCTGCCAGAACAGATCCGAACATTAAAATTATAATTACAATAAAACAAGCATTAGAATATATTGATACTACTATTGAAAACAATCATGGACAATTAAAAACAACAATTTATCATAAATCAGCTTGGGAACCTAATATTCTTTCTTATGAATCTGATCATCTACGACATGTGCATGCCAGCAATATTTATACAATGTTAGTCAGAGCAGCACGTATCTGTTCCACTGTGGAAGATTTTGATATGGAACAATTAAGTGCAGAAATGATTTTATTAGTTAATGGCTATCCACCAAAATTTATACAACATCATTTAAAAGATTTCTTTGTTACACATGATGCTGTCAGAGTGTGAGCTGAGCTTAATAGTGAAGCATATGAGCACCTACATAATACCATACTTTACAAAGAAACACGAAAAGAAAGTAAAACTAAAGTCCAAGCAAATGGTAAATTCATACAAAACAACATTAATGATGAGCAAAAACATAAAATTTATCTTCATTATACATTTGAAAATGGACCACTATTAGATTTCAAACAAGAATAGCGTCAAATATGGCAAAAGTCTACGTTTATTCAGGATCACGTCTGAAACATACGCGGCTTATTCTCGGTACAATATTGAATCGTACATTACAAAGTCTCTTGATTCACAAAAACCAAAACGTGATATGTTGACCATTATGCAACCAACTACAGAAGCAGCACGTAGAACAATCAACGAAAAACTTCCTCATGAATAAGTATCGTTCTCTTTTACTAATACACATTGTACAAAATGTTTCTATTTTGTTTGTTCTCTTCTGTGCCAATTAGATTTTCTCCACAAAATGATGATAATGTTCTTGGAGAAGATTCAAGTATATGATAAATATTGTATTTCTTCAATTTTAGTTTTGTTTTTCACATATATAACACTTAGACTGTAAATAATTCTTTCATTTTTCATCTTTATCACTGTGAAATTTAACTACTAAATTATGAATTCGCATCTTGCAGCTTAAACTTGTTCATTTTTCTCATTTCTTTCCTTATATTTAAAAACTTCTTTTTTGTATGAAAATAGATATTATACATTGTTTCATATCTTTCTAGATATATTAAATATATACACATAGCGATGTCAACGAAACCCAATCTCACCAACGTACGTGCTTCATACGAGCAATCTTTGTAAGTAACTCATATATATATACAGAAAAATATAATGAAACTCACCTCAATCGCACCCATTTAATTATTGTTATTTCAGGATAAACACAACAAACCAAAGTCAATATGATAATTTATCCATACAACCATCTGAATAAAACCAAAACATCGATTCTACGATTGACCAACTATTATCAAATGATTACGTAAGACCAAATCAGTCAACTATAGAAATGAGCAGCACAAATCTGATTGGACCTCAAAACAACTTAATACAAAATAATGAACCAAATCAAACTGCACCACGAAGACCAAGTGCACAACGATCATGACAACCAGATCCGCCGCAACAAACTTACCATCAACATTGGACTTTCCCAAGGCATCATCTACTATATCATTCAGAACGAAATCACCCGGTTCAACAACTTCAACCACCACGTCACCAATAATTCACTCAGGCGCAACGACACCTACATCAACAACAACTGCGACAACGAACCGAACCAAGACGCCACCAACGTTACCGACAATGGCAAGAACGACTAAGGCAACGAAGTCTGGAGCAACTGCCTCAAACAAGACACCATTACTACAGTGATCGGTACGACAATGATGACAGTGACGACCATCTCAGCATCGAAGATATGGATGACGTACTACTCGAATCTTATCAATGGGAACAGATAGACGAAACAACAAAATGGGAACAAGAACAAATCAAAGACATTGAAGCATTAGCAGAAAAAGATCTGCATATGACAACAGAAGAAGAAATGGAAGAAACACAAAAGGTCGATACAGCCAAACAAATTACAGAAGAAGAAAAAAAGGAACGCAACATGTACCTATTAAAACAAAAAGATCTAATCGAACAACTTGAATTTATCCATCTACAGCTACAAGAACCATAAAACATGACCGTCAGACACCATAATTACTTTAGGCTAATACATAGACATGCACATATTTATGTGAAACAAAAGCATAATAAAAATTAAAAACAAAACAAAACCTACCCATCATTACCAATGAGACATGTTAAAACATAAATTTTCATTTTAGATGACAAGTAAATACTCCACGAAAACAAATTTTCAAAACATACAAACCAATGGAATCATCGCCGAAATACATTAAATAACGCATTCAATCCTCCACAGCAAGAGACAAACACAATTTCGGTAAGTAAATCATGAAATTCCAACATACGTAAAAACCTATTTCGGTGTACGACTAAGACACCAAAAAACCAAAAAGAATTCCATTTTCTCGGCAACATGCATCTTTCAAGTACTTCTAAAGGACATTCGAAACACAAGAACTACTCCTCACCACTTTTCTTACTCATACCACTATTAAACAAAGATAAAATTGGACAAATAGAACACATGCACTTTTTGTAGGATCTTTACAAAAACCTTTGTTGCGTACATCCCTCTAATCAGTTCCTAGATGAAACATACTTGAAAGCGTTAATGAGCTTGCGAGTTCTCTTGAAAAATTCTCAACATAACATTTCCAATAGGAGTCCTTATTACTGCAATGATAAACCAAATGATAAGCATAATACAAGCTCCTCTCGAAACCGATATCGTTACCTTTTGATAGATTAATATTTTGAATAACTTATCTTTAACATATCAAATCACATCGAGCATCTCTCAGTCAAATTATTGGAAGTTATTAACCTTATATAACTTTCCAATGATTTTATAAATTATGCCTTCAACTAGATTTTAGAAGTTCTTATAACTTTCGACTAGCAGTTGTACATAGTTAGAGAAATATTACAATATAACCATTAAGCAATTGATAATAGATCACTTTAGCAGTAATCGAAACCGATCTTGCTAGCTTATTGATTGATTCTAATATAAGAATCTTTCTACTTAAACACACCCACCCACACCAAGAAATCTATTCTGCTGAGATAAATGCTTTTATTATACTTTTCCATAACAAGCATGCTTGTGTAATATTGGTATATTCACGATAATTAGCGTTTATAGTATTTCAAATTAATCTGGGGCACATTTCACATTTTCCTCGTATTTCGACAGATAATATAGAAAAAGAAAATTTTCCAAATCTTTATAGTAGGAATAGTAACTCAAAGGTTGAAAAGCCTAAGAAAAAACGATCAAAGTTAGTCAGTTTCATTAACAGTATTAGAAAGAAACTACATATTTAGTTTTTCTAAATACTCCGATTAACCGTACCCGAAGATAAAACACTTGTATCGTTAAAATAAATGATAGATTTAAATGCTTTTCTTGTAGACAAGGTTTAGTAAAATGAAAAATTGATGTCCTTGTCACAAGGTATAGAATTTCTAAGAATATGTTCAGAAAGTAATTGATAGTTTCATCCAAATAATTTTCTTTTTCCCTAAAAATATCTACTGGTTCGATTAGATAACTTGCATCACTGGATTTAAATTGATTGTGTTTTGTGAAGATGACTCGAATTGTCCACAAACGACGTACAAAAGACAAAATACCATCATACATCTAAGATGGGTCTGCACGCGATCATACGTATATCAACTGTCAATCACGTTTTAACTTTACAACTCTGAAGCGCTTTTTTGTTGTCGGTAAATCTACACGCGATCAGCAGTTCGAACGCATCCAGATGCATTGTTGAAATGTGAGCGGATGTATTTGAATCATTTTTTAAATAGAATCGCGCCAGGCACATTTTAAACAGTCTTAAACATGCTTAATGTGTGTTTCGCTTTCGCATGGGTAAAACAGCGGTCATCATTTGCATGAAATTATTTTATCTTCCAATAATGACAAAGCCCAAGCAACAAAATACTAAAATACATCTGGCTTTAAGTATACTTCACTTTGAAATTTATCGATTTTATTGAATTCAATTTAAATTGGTTATAGACTTGTAGTGCATCTAGTCAAAATTGGATGAGTGACGGTTGAAACGAGTTGTTTGATGCTTGAAGCCAGTTTTCATTTTATAATCTCACATCCACTTGGACGCAATTATTTTGTAAAATATCGATTACTATTCATGATTTATAAAGTACTTATTTAAAAAAATCGCTCTTGATGTTTTGCGCTCAATGTCAACAATTTTTCTATTTTTTTCTGCATAAGTAACATTCTTTGGCATACAGCGAGCAATATCCATCAATTACGCATTACTCAATGATCTATCATCTTAAGAAAGAAAATATTTTTATCAATGATGGGACACTATCTTTTATTCTGTAGCCTTCACCTACATGATAAGTTGTACTACTAATGTGCACAAGATATACTTATGTGCAGAGAATACCACTAATCGTACATATCGAGCAGGAAAGAAAAAAGAATAAGAAAAGGAAAGTATAGTACTAAGAAACTTTGTGGAGAAATTTTTTGCACGATAATGAAGAGATGCATTCTCTATTAGCAATATCCAAACACACACATACAGCATTAATGTTATTCTTCGTTGAGGTGACGGAAATATTCTTCTTATTTTTTTTTAATCGGATTTTCTTTGTATTTGCTCAAACAGGCGTTACTTATTATTTCAAACATTAATATTGGGTTTTGTCAATCAGACGTTAATTTGAATAGAACCGAGTACAACAAAATTATATATCTGAACGTTGGTGGTGAATTGATCTCTACAACATATGGAACTCTGACATACGTGCCAAACACAAAGCTTTCGTTCTTCAACAGTTGGCCTCGTGACAATAGAGGTCATATTTTCCTAGATTTACCACCAGATCTTTTTAAATACTTTCTTCATCAACTTCGTCGTTGGTCGATTCGTGGAGATCGATTAGCTAATGCTGTATTCGAACCACCATCATGGAAAGTCAAAGATGAGTTCAATGAAATGATTATAGCACTTGGTTTTCAGAAATATCAACAAAGCATGTTTACTAAAAGAGAAAGTTTGTTTACAATTCTTCTTTTCATTATTTAGTTGCGCCAGTTCAGTGCACAAAGTATAGGCGTGTTGATGATTTCACCCGTCGCGAAGGATCTGGTGCTGGAAGATCTTGTGACACTAATGAGACTGCTGGTTGGACACGTTTCGTTGATCAAGCAGGCACGACAATCATCAATCATATTCCAGAGTCAGGCCTTCGTCTATGTGGTGGCGGAAGCCCTGGTTGGCTATTTGGTGTTTATCCTTCAATACTTTATTCAACAACGATTGGAACTATGTGCTATGTCAGCCCGGCTGGTACACCATGTGCGCGCATTGCTGCTCAGGCGGTACGTGTCACACACTGTGGCGCATATTTTGTATTCGACATGCCGGTGGCACCTGAATGTCCGCTGAGAGCATGTAGCATTGATCAACCTATGCCATTTTGAACAAAATATTTTGCTAATTTCCTCTCACATCAATTCGAGCAACTATGACAAGATCGATAATAACCTGCAGCAGACTAAAGAATTAGCTGTTATTGATCTCAATAGCTGTATGCAAGATTTTGCAACCCGTAGGTTTTTTTACTTGAAGTTAAATAAAAAAAATCGAATTCCATTCTAGTGGAAGGGTTCGAGTAATATAATCATTGAAACTTCACTTTAGTTGCTGTTGTTGTCAATTTTAGGTACCTGTATATTTGACAAGAGCATTTTTTCGCCCTGACAGAATGGGATCATTGAAGCCCTTGGCAGTTGAATATTAGAAGTTCAAGTATTCAAATATTTATAAATTATCGTATTGTAAAACGCTTAGACACAAATTTACGTATTTTGAGATAGTGTCTTGATACGTGATTACGTTGATATTTATATATTTGAATGATTGAATAGACGAACTTGCTTTCAATAACTGATTTAAAGGACCATTTATTCTTATACTCAATTGATCAGAAAATAGGAATTTCGACGCGTCAACATCACTGTGTGATGGGCATCGTAACTCTAAATTGAACTATTGAGTTACCACTTGTTGATAGGTCGAGAGCACGGTGATGGGTTGCTTCTGCAACTATTTCCGTATCTGTGGTCGCCAGTCCGTGACAAGTTTTGGTAGATCGATTTGAATGATCCAATTGTTGAAATTGGTAGCAGTTCGAGTGGTCCAAATTTCGACACATTGATTTTGTTTTAAATTTCAAAAAAATTCAGGTCTTGTCATGACTTTCTTTTCGAGGTATCGAAACCATCGAATCTTTTTGTTGAAAAGAAGATTCGAGCATGCACAGATCCAAAAGCTTGATATCACATCACACAAGATCCAGTAAGATCTTACGCTCACAAGATTTTTTTTGTCCGATTTTGTCACAAGATCGGACAATATCGTATGCGTTTACTGTTTCCAAGGTTTAAACAGATTCGGACTATAACATGTCGGGTGTGGATGTGGGTGTGGTGTGGGTGTGGTTGTGATTGTTTATATTCCCTTCATTCAAACCACAGCCACACTCATACCCCACACCCACGCCCACCAATACCCTCTATTGACTATTATAGTATCATCGAAAACAATGAAGATTACAATAGCGAATGATTTGTTCTTTTCGAATAGCACAACCATGCTTCTTACTGATCTCAATCATTTACTTTTTAATCGATGTAAAAAAAACGGTAAAAACTCAGATCAAAACTGATTTTTCAAAGAAAAATCACAAAAATTCGATTAAATACAGTAGTGTTGATTAAATTCAACAAAATCATAGATTACAATTGATTATTCGGTCAAAACCTTGCATAATTGATTACAAATTTAATCTATTAATCAACTTTAATTAGTTTCAAGAATAATCTCTGAAATTCTATTCTATTTGGAATAATCTGTATAATCGATTACAAGTCTAATTGAGTTTTAATGTATTTCAAGAATAATCTATTCGAATTAGTTTACTTTGGAGTCATCAAAATTCATTGAGTTATTTTGAAGCTATGTTCATTTTACTGTAAAGATGGATATGCTCAGAAGCCGTCAAATCTCATTGTGTGACCCAAAATTCAGTATGAACTCAACAGATCAACTTCAAACTTGCAGGAAAGGTAGCCCCATAGGCCCTTATTGTTCTCTGAAATTTTCAGACTTCTATCGTGTATTAGAGAGAAATGGCATTATGCTGAAATTTGAGATATTGTCATAGGTCTAGGTAATCAAATATTCAAGCAATTGACCTCATCTTTTGGGCACATAACTAGCATGTAAGGCGGCACAGTTTTACCAAAAATAAGTTACAAAATTCACTATGAATCATGGAAAACAGGGCATAAATTTTTATAGTCAATTTTTCCCTCATTCTGACGACCTTTTATTGTTCTGTTTAACAGTGCGAAAAAAACGTTATACAAAAGAATTAAAATGTATTTGTCTATCTAGTTCAAATATATGAAGGATCTTCTGATAGTTTTCATCATGATAATGAATCAGAGTAAGCATGGGAGTAAGAATATAAGTAAAAATTGATATGTAATGGTGAAAAGAATACAAATCCCTATTCTCACTTCCGATCTTCCTTAGCTTTGTCAGAATGAGGGAAAAATTGGCTATAAAAGTTTATGCCTTGTTTTCCATGATACCTAGTGAATTTTGTAACTTTTTTTGGTAGAATTCTGCTCCCTTTCATGCTAGTTATGTGAGCAAAAGATGAGACCAATTGCTTGAGTATCCATGCACCTAGACTTATGACAATATCTCGAACTTGAGCATAGTGCCATTTCTGTCTAGTACATGATAGAAGTCTGAAAATTTTAGAGAACAATAAAGGCCTATGGGGCTATCTTTTCTGCAAGTTTGAAGTTCATCTGTTGAGCTCATACTGAATTATGGGTCACACAATGAGATTTGACGGTTTCTGAGCATATCCATCCTTACAGTAAAATGAACCTAGTTTCATAATAACTCAATGGATTTTGATGAAATTTTTACCACAAATACCCAATATACTTGGCTACAAAATAACGTGTTTCGTAGCTCATAAGACTTTGTTATTCTGGAGTTATGACGTCCACAATGAAAATGAACCCGATGCATCATAACTTTCTTGTGACTCAGGATATGGAGGCTCGGGTTTCGCCGCTGTCCTACATTAGTCGAGATCTATATACAGTGAAGTTTTCGGAGCAACAGCACTTGTAGTGGCTGAGATTTGATGCGAGGCTACTTTTGCCAGTACTATATGTCACTTAATGTGTTCTTTTTGTGTCTTCCTGTGCTTTCGTTCTTTTCTTCGAACTAATAACTCCTGTTCATTTTCCTCACTCTCTATTATCTTTATTTTTTCTATTCTTGTTAAAGTGAAGAAAACGTTTTCTTGGCCTTGAACTAAAATTTATTGCGTATTCGGTAATATTTAACAGCATTATATATATATTGGCATAACTCTATGAGGGGAGGAGTCGGAGACGAAGTTTTTATAGATTGTCGTTATTGATTCAAGAGAAATAATTAATAAAAAATACTTAAGTAACATCTTGAAAATAACCATATATACATCAACGTAAATTAGGACTTAAAAGTATTTTTAATTCTTTTGTGGCTGATCTCATATAAAATTATAACCAAAGAGGAAGATTTTAGACGTAGCACATATGATTGGATCAGTGGCCAGTTCATTTAAATTGTAGTTCGCGATCCATCCAACCCATGGCAGGCAAGCTATGCGACCAGATCCGTTGATGCTTCTCATTTATGAAAAAAATTAAGTGTTTAATCTTTTCTAGTGTCTTAGATCGATGTGTGAGATCTAGTCGTATAGTTAGAGCGAATTCATAGAACTGAGCTTGACTTATAGGTTTGTGTTTGACTTAGATGTGGTAATGATTCGGTTAATAACATCTTGACCACGCAACTCTTTATGACGCCCACAACACACTAGATAAATAATAGTTCTTATGTTGGCAAACAACCATACTCATCTGATAAGAAATGGTTTTTTTCTTTCATGTTATTGAGGTACAAGGTGAGTCTCTTTTGAATGTGTATTTAGGAGCATTAATAGTAAAATGGAACAACAAGTCAGACTGATAATCATTATATTTATATGTTAAGTGGAGTAATTTTGACATTACTTAGACTATAGCGAAGTAAAATTATACCACTCAGAAAATACGACTTCTAAACTACTGCTTTGTAAGAGCAAAGTTCAACAAGTTTTGATGACGTCCATAAAGACAAAGCTGACATTTCAGCATCAATATCTAACTTGTCACCATAGAATTCAGTCATTGGATGTCTGTCCATTTGTCAATCTATCTTAACATTTTTTGACTTCATAATAATTTGCTAAAGTCCGAAGATTTTGGTTGCACTGAATTATCAGATATAAGGCACTGAGGGATTATTCAGTTCAAATCAGTCAGTATCATCCATTATTTGTTATTGGCTAGGTCACAGTGTAAGTTAAATCTCAAGATTAGATCCATGAGTGTCTGATTAATTGTTATTTTGTTCAGAAGTAGAAAACATGCCCTGTATTTTACGCATGGACATCTTCTGGTTAAAAAGTAGCATTGCAAAACTACTTGTTGACTGCTATGGTAAAAAACTAGGTTTCGTATCAGGTGTGATTAGAACTTAATCGATGGAAAGTGCTTCGGTCGTATAACTTTCAGAACGTTCATTAGTTAGCATTACTTATTACATCCTTCTGAAAATAAATAATAGTCGAGTATAAATTAATTTGAATAAAAAAATGTTACATTTTTAACTCGAAAACACAAAACCGCATCCTATTCGTAGTGCATAAATTCCGATGACATGCTCATAAGAATAGAATCATAAAATTGATATCCTTTTTCTTGACAAGACATCGCCGTATGGCAATCTTTCACTCTTCCATGATTAGTTGAATGGCATCTCAAGTATTTGAAACCTCATCTATCGGGAACGTGTATTATGGTTATTTACAGATTAAAAAATGTAACGTAGAAATCTCATTGTAAAATTTTGCACCATTTGTTATGCAGAATAGGCAGTCACTCTATTTCATTCTCTTGTTCGACCGAATCTCACCTTGAAACCGTGTGTGATTAATTACAAATATATCACACGAAGCATAAGAGAGAACTGTATGCATGCAGGACAGAAGCGGATCTAGAAGACACATCGAGTTGATATCGTTGTAAAAGCAACACGATTTTGAATCAATTGATATGTGAGCTGAAGGTTCGTTCGACGAAATAATGATATTTCATGGGTAAAATAATTTCACGTGTCAATAATAGATTTACAATAACAAACTTGACGTTAGTATTGAAGAAGTTCATGAAACGCAACCAGCTATATGGCATAGGTTGAATAAACTGCTTTAGAATTGATCGCAGTCAAATGTCACATGAAACTTATCACACATGCTATTCAGATTGCTTTTTAGGCAGAAAATATTATGACGCCTTAGACA